TTACCGTAATACTTTTATGTACAGAATAATGAGACATGGATAGGATAGGTCGAGGTGCCCCTATCGTTTGGCTGGCACGGTCGCCAGATTTGAACGTGCTAGACTATTTTCTTTGGGGCTATGTAAAAGCTTCAGTCGAGCACCATCGTGATGGTACCGAAGATGAGGTACGCGAAGCTATTTTAGCGGCCTTTAATAGTATTACGTCGGACATGGCCCTGCCGAAAATGGTCGATTAAAACGGATTAAAAAAAATGTAATCCGAATCGATCGTATTTTATTCGAAGTATTGCCCATTGCTAGCTATACATTTTTCCCATCTCTCTGACACTTTGTGGATGCCACGCCAAAAAAACTGTTGCTTCTTTGAGGCAAACCAGTCATCGAGCCATTTTCGTACATTTTCGTAAGAAGTTAAGTGCTGCTCAGTAAGTGCGTGTCCCATCGATGCAAATAAGTAGTAATCGGATGGAGCCAAGTCTGGTGAGTAAGCCGCATGCGAAAGTATTTCCCAACTAAACGCTTCAATCGTTTCCTTGACCGGTTTTGCTGTGTGTGATGGTGCATTATCATGAAGCAAAATCACTTTGTGTTGCCTTTTTTGATATTCTGGTCGTTTTTCACGCAAAGCTTGATTCAAATCGATCATTTGTTGTCGGTAGCGTTCAGTACTAACGGTTTCGCCAGGTTTTAGCAGCTCATAATAGATCACACACTTCTGATCCCATCAAACACAGAGCATTGTCTTTCGTCCATAGCAATTTTTTTAACCACTCAAAGCACTGTGATTTACCAAGAGCATGCTCACCGTAAGCTTCGACAAGCATTCGATGCGATTCTGCAGCAGTTTTCTTCAAATGGTAACAGAAAATCAATGCTGTCCGCAAATCGTAGTTTCCAGGCACAAAATTCGACATGTTCAACGCTATTAAAAACTATGCTACTAAATTCGCGGATCACTGATTCAAATTCGCCACACTTGAACGTGAATTCTCGAAAGCCCGTTATCACGTCGGGGTCACCAGTTGTGGTAGTGTTATAGTTAAATCACTAGACTTTACTGTTTAGTAATAAAATATTTAATTCACGAGTGAGATGTGTACAGATTGATGGTCAATGAACGAACGAATGGATGTTACATAATTTGTCGTATGTTTAATATGTTGTTATGTAAAGTGTTAAATCAATAAATGAAATGTGTGAAAATGGTTACAAATATATTTCATGAAGTTGGTAACAAAAATGATTTTGAATTTAGCCGCAGGAACGCCACAGTACTCCCCTCCCAGCGACGTACTACGTTGCGAATCTAACTTTCTTCCTAGGACCAGAATATGTTCTGAGTTGTTTTCCAAGTAAGGTTGACTGAGGTGAATTGGAAGAAGAAGGAGAAGGAGGAGACGTCATAATCACATCATCGCTGGTTTCTTTCGGTAGGAAGGCTGGTTTAAGACGTTCTGTGGTGATATTGACAATTTTTCCTGCAACAACAATTGCAAATAGATTATCATTAATTCTATTAACAATACGAAAAGGGCCAGAATAAGGAGGTTGAAGAGATTTCCTAACAGCATCTTCACGAATCCAAACATGAGTGCAATCATATAAATTTTTATGAAAGAAAGGTGTTTTTTGTGATGATGTGCAGTAGGTCTTGATTTGATCTCTCTCATATGTATTCTATGTTTTTCGATGAAAATTTCAGGGTCAGATGGAAGATCCTCTTCAATGAAAAATTCTCCCGGAATTCTTAATGTAGATCCATAAAGCATTTCCGCAGGAGATGCATTCAAATCTTCTTTAAAGCAAGTACGAAGTCCAAGTAAAACTGTTGGCAAAATTTCAATCCAGTTTTCATTTGCGTGACACATAATAGCACTCTTCAATGTACGGTGCCATCGTTCCAGAATACCATTAGAAGCCGGATGATAAGCTGAGGTTCTAATACGCTCGAAACCAATTAGGTTGGTGAGAGCCTTAAATAATGCAGCTTCAAATTGAGGACCTTGGTCGGTTGTGATCGTCTGCGGAGCACCATACCTCGCAACCCAGTGCGTATAAAAAGCTGTAGAAACAGTATCAGCTGAAATTTCAGTAAGAGGGATTGCTTCCGGCCATCTAGAAAATCTGTCAATCATGGTTAAACAATAACGAAAATTTTGACAAATAGGAAGAGGTCCAATCAAATCTAGATGAATATGCTGAAAACGCTGATCTGGAATAGCAATCTTTTGAGGAAGATTCTTGGTATGCTTTTGGATCTTGGCACGTTGACAAGGCAAACACAATCGAGCCCATTCTTTTATATCTTTCTTCATAGTTGGCCAAATAAATTTTTGTTGTATTAGTTTGCAGGTAGAACGACCACTTGGATGAGATAAACCATGAACAACATCAAAAATTTTCCTACGAAGCTGTTGAGGTACATAAGGACGGATATTAACAGTAGAGCAGTCACAGAAAATAGGCGTAGTCGAGCCAGTAAGTACAAGTTTTTGAAGCTTGAGGGAAGAATTAGTGAGAAGTGTTTTCAATTCTTCATCTTCTTTTTGTAATTCTGCTAACTCTTCCAGAGAAACTATGATAGGCATCGAAACGGATTCAATTCTAGAGAGTGAATCTGCAACTACATTTTGTTTACCAGATATATGCTCGATGTTTGTTGAAAATTGAGCAATGAAATCAAGATGTCGGATCTGTCTGGGTGAAGCTTTATCCAATTTTTGTTGAAAAGCATAAATTAAAGGTTTATGATCTGTCCGAATAAGAATTTGACGTCCTTCAAGTATGTACCTGAAATGCTTGATGGCTAAATAAATACCAAGAAGTTCACGATCGTAAGTACTATAATTACGTTGAGTGTCGTCCAATTTCTTTGAGAAAAATGCGATTGGTTTATTAATTCCATCGATTATTTGTTCCAAAGATGCACCAACTGCAAAATCCGATGCGTCACAAGTGAGGATAAGAGGTACAGTTGAAGCCGGATGCGCTAAAGTTGTGACTCGTAAGAGTTCTTCTTTGCAATTTTTGAAAGCTTCTTCAGCTTCAAAAGTCCAAGTGACTAACCTTTTATCCCTTTTCCTGCTATCCTTAAGATAATCCGTAAGAACTGCCTGATGTGATGCAGCATTTTTCAGACAACGACGGTAAAAGTTGATAATACCTATAAATCTTCTTAACTCATGAATTGTTTTAGGTTTTTTATAATCAATAATGGCTTTAACCTTTTCAGATGTCGGTTTAATTCCTTGCTTGGAAACTAAATAGCCAAGGAAAGAAATTTCATCCTTACCAAAGAGACATTTGGACAAATTAATCGTCATGCCGAATTGTTTAAGCCGAGAAAACACAGTATGAAGATGTTTGGCATGTTCTTTCTCATTAACAGAAGCAATTAAGATATCATCAAGATAACAGACACAAAAATCAAGTCCAGATAATATGATATTCATAAGACGTTGAAAAGTCTGAGCAGCATTACGCAAACCAAAAGGCATTACAAGAAATTCAAAAAGGCCGAATGGAGTAGTAACAGCTGTTTTTGGTATGTCCTCTTTTGCAACTGGCACTTGGTAATAGGCTTTAACTAAGTCAATCTTAGAAAATATATTTTTACCGTGTAAACCAGCAGTGAAATCTTGAATGTGAGGAAGCGGGTATCGATCTGGAACAGTAGCTGCATTTAAAGCTCGATAGTCGCCGCAAAGTCTCCATGAGTTCGGTCCGTTTTTAGGAACCATGTGAAGTGGAGCTGCCCAGGTGCTGCTTGACGGTCTACAAATTCCTTGTTCCACCATAAAATTAAATTCGTCTCTTGCAAATTTTAATTTTTCCGGTGACAACCTGCGAGGAGTTGAAGCAATTGGTGGTCCTTTCGTAATAATATGATGCTCAATTTGATGAATCTTGTTTGTTGATATAAGAGCAAAATGAGTTAATTCAGGAAATTCAGCAAGGATCTTATGGAAAGGTGAGTCAGGAAATGTAGTGCAAATTGACAAGTGATTAACTTTAGATAGTTTTCCTTTAAATGAAAGACCGGTAACACTATCTAGAAGTTTTTTGTTTTTAATGTCAACTAAAATTCCATAATGACTCAAAAAATCTGCGCCCAATATAGGTCTCTGAATATCCGCAATGCAAAATTTCCATTTAAAAATTCTTCGTAATCCAAGATTTACAGTTAACATTTTTATACCGTAAGTATTAATCTTGGTTCCATTAGCTGCATAAAGCTTGAAAGAAGCAACTTGAGCTTTTGAAACAAATCTTTTTGGAATCAAAGAAATATCAGCTCCTGTATCAACAAGAAAATTAAGTCCTGAAGTTTTATCAGAAATAATGAGGCGATTGTTAGGTAAACCGTTGTCAGCCGCCTCACAACTCAACGGTGAAGCTAGTTTTCCTGCCTTTCGACCAAAGATTTAGACATATCACAAGGTATTGTACATTTAAAAGCTTTAACACCAAATTTCTTATGATAAAAACAAATTTTTTGGTTATCCTTATCAGATTTACTCCTAGAAGATGATCTAAATCTTTTTCTTTCCTTGTATCTAAATTTAGATCTGCTGCGTACACGTCTAACTTCCAGAGCTGCGATTCTTCGCTCGAGATCAACAAAATTCGAAGTGTCTTTTCCTGCCGAGGAAGCTATTGTTGCTACATGTAGGTTAGTTTCTCGGTCCAAAATTTTATCAGCCAGTTCAGCAAGCTTAACTAAAGGACAATCGTCCACAACCGCTAAAGTAGCTTGAACTTGCGAAGGTAATCTTTGCAACCAAATTGAATGCAATACATTTTCCGAAATCGCTCCTCCCGCTAACTGTTTAATTTCGCGTAGCAAATCCGACGGTTTCTTGTCATTCAGCTCAACACCAGCTAACAATTGACGAAGACGTTTTTCCTCCGAATCAGTAAACCGATTAATCAAAACGTTTTTAACATGAAGATATTTATCTTTTTCAGGAGGATTTTCAATCAAATCAGCAATAGCCAACAAAGCTTGCTCATCAAGATGCCGTATAACCGAGCTATACTTAACATCATCTGAGCGGATCCGAAAAACCAAGAATTCGCTTTCTAATTGAGCAAACCACAATTTAGGCTGCTTATGCCAAAAATTCGGCAATTTAACAAGGCGAAATTCGTTAGAATGGATCTCGTTTGGCTGACCTTGTTGATGAGGCTCATTACTGGCAAGAGTTTGTGTCGGATTCGTCAAACGTTGATGATGTTCTCCAGCCGATGGAACTGATGCTGACGCTGTAGGATTCGAAGTCGAAGATTCGTCCAAAGGCATCGTCAAACTCTGTCAATACTCTGCGTTGTGAAATTCAGAAGTCTAGTAGATCGCTGTCCTTGGAAATTCGATGACTCGAAAATCTCGTCAACTCGAAGAACACAAGCCACAAATCACACAAGAATCACAGCGGAACTCGAAACTCGATGGCTCACTAAATTCGCGGATCACTGATTCAAATTCGCCACGCTTGAACATGAATTCTCGAAAGCCCATAATCACGTCGGGGTCACCAGTTGTGGTAGCGTTATAGTTAAATCACTAGACTTTCCTTTTTACTAATAAAATATTTAATTCACGAGTAAGATGTGTACAGTGCTCAACGTGTCGGTGTGTGCCTTCACGGACGCTACACACATACGCGATGAAAGAGAGACAAAGACAGCGCATCATCTCTCTTTGTCAAACGATCAGTGTACTACCAGCATCGAAAAGTGGATGTAGCACGGATATGAACCAAAATCGAAAAGTGAATGTAGCACGAACATGAACCAATCGGCTGTTTTATCGGCTCTGAAAGTGGATGAGGCCATGTAGTTCCAGGCGGCGTAAAATGGATGTACGTGACGCTAGTGTACGACCTAGAAAAAGCGTTACACGAAAAACGGCAGCGTGGCGACTCTCATTCTTCTCTCTGATAATAGTAATACTTCATTTATAACGACAGAAATGTAAGGGTCGACAGGAGTGACGGGCAAACTCCAAATTAACATTGGAGACCTCGCGCGGTGAAAATGTGAAACTCAGGTTTCAGGGTTACCAACGCTGAGGAATGAATTCTTAATCTCGATGTATAGGTGTATGTCTGTATACGTACACACACGATTGCTATTTTATTTAATTATTATTAAATATATTACATATATTAATATTAACATATTTTCAAAATTTTCAAATTTTGTTTTCAATATAATTCTCAAAACATAAAATGTAATAACAAAACACATATAAAAAATTTTTTTGAGATATCTGTGGAATTGAACTTGGAGTATACTGCATGATAGACTGAATATTTTGCACTTCGTCATTACATGTATTATTTATATATATGCTTTCATATACCAGTACTCGTATGTGCTTACGCGATATCGGTACAATTGAAGAAAGATAATATAATTGTCTATGAATATATAATATAATTGTCTACGATTAAGACTGTTAAAAGGAAAAAAAGACATAAATTTGTGAGCAAGACTAGTAAGTCTCAATAATTAGAATTCGGATGTTAAGGGTCGGCAGGAGTGACGGCCAAACTCCGAATTGATATTGGAGACCTCGCGCGGTGACAATGCGAAACTCCGACTTCAGGATTACCAATCTGAGAAATAAATTCTCGATCTCTATGTAGAGGTGTATGTCTATATACGTACACACACGATTGAATTGCTCGCGTGGACGCGTGGATCAACGATCACGTTATCCTTGTTCCTCTAGCGTATCGCTTTACGGCCGAGATATGGCCTGAAAATGCTTTCTGGCCTCTCGTGGCAGAAAGCAGTAATGCAACAAGACTAATGGGCGCCCACTTTTTATAAATTTTATGTTTACTTATGCGCATATGTACAGATATATACCAATAGTATATAGAAATGTTACATATGTTTCAAAATTGTACAATGATAAATAATCTTAGTAGAATAATAGCTAATAGAGTGAACTAATATACAACGTGTAAGAGATACGGGCACTTCTTAGATTTGGCAATTTATTGCTTTTTTACTTGTTGCTTTTTCATCGATACTTTATGTATTGTCAGCATGATAGAGCGACAAGGAGAGAACGATTGTTAATTCTTGGCTTACATTATCTTTCAGTAATTGCAAATTTATAGACCGACAAGTATGCTATCTTGATTTCTTTTCGATTATATCGATATTATCGCGTAAAAATATCTGCTACATAAATACTGATAATATGAAAGCATTTACAAGAAATATGTGATGGCTAAATGCAAGAGTGTTCAATCTATCACGCAATAAACTCAAGTTCAATTCCACAGACATCTTAACAAAATTTTTTTATATTTTTTGTTATATAAACGTTATTACATTTTGTGTGAGAATTATATTTAGAATAATTATTAAAATTTTGAAAATATGTTGACCATTTTGTAATTGTACATGTGTATAAAAAATTTATTTTATGTATTTAATATATCTTGTAATAAACCAATAATAGCTAATCTCACAAAGTCTAACAGGCACCCGTGTCTTACATATTGTATATTTATTCACTCTGTTATCTATATTATTATTGATCATCATGCAATATTTAATTGCACGTATAA